CAGTGGTTTCTCTGCCTGCTGCGTAAGCACAAGGACCCAAGTTTGATCCCTGGTACCAAAAAAAAAAAATGAATTTTTACCCCAGTAATGGGAAAAAAAAATTTTAGGGGAGGGGGTCCTGGAGATTGAACCTAGGATCTTCTCACTGAGCTATAACCCAGCCCTTTTAAAATTTTGAGACAAGGTCTTGCTAAATTCTCCAGGCTGACCTGGGACTTGTGATCTGCCTGCCTCAGCCTCCCAGAATGCTAGAATTACAGGTGTGCACTACCATATCCAACTCAGTAATTCTACTCTTTTTTGTTGTTGTTATTATTGTTGTTTTGAGAAAGAGTCTCACCATGTAGTCCAGGCTGGCCTTGAACTCACTACTATAAGTGGCTCAGGCTGGCCTTGAACTCCTGAAAATCCTCCCGCCTCAGCCTCCCAAGTGCTGGGATGACAGGTGTAGACCAGCATGCCCAGCAGCATTTCTACTCTTAACTATCTATTTAACAGAAATAAAAACCTATCATCCCCACAAAGTTGTATGCCAATATTCCTAACAGTATTACTTGTAACAAATAGTGAGGATGCCTGTAATTGTAGCGCCCTGGGAGGCTGAGGCAGGAGAATCACAGGTTCGAGCCCAGCCTGGGCAATTTAGCAACTTAGCAAGACCTTGTCTAAAAAAAAAAAAAACTAGATGTGGTAGCCTGTCTCAAAAAAGAAATAAACACAAAATTCCATTTATTAAAAATAAAACAGGGCGGGGGATTTAGCTCAGTGGCACTGCACCTGGCCCCAAGTGCAAGGTCATGAGTTCAATCCCCAGTACCAAAAAAATAAATAACATAAAATTTAAAAAACAATATCTGGGATGTAGCTCAGTACAAAGGCCCTGGGTTCAATCCCCATGCCAGGGGAAAAAAAGAAAAGGAAAAAGAAGAAAGAAAGGAAACAACTGAAGTGAAACTGAATAAACAAAATGCAGAACATCCATACAACAAGGTGTATCAGCGATAAAAAGAAGAAAACTCCTTTCTTTTTTTGAGACAGGGTCTTGCTGTGTCAGGCTGGTCTATGCAACACCACGCCCCGCTAAAAAGGAACAAACTACTAATCCATGGCAGAACACACAACAATCTCACAAACATGAAGCTCTAGCGAAAGGATCACATATTGCAGGATTCCATTCATAGGAGAAGGCAGATCCTCCCAGATCCGGAAGTGGATCAATCCCCTGGGGCTGGGAATGGGGACAGGAAGCATCTGCTTGTGGAGATGAGGGATTTCACAAGAAATGTTCTAAAACTGGATTGAGATGCTTGAATAACTCTGTAAATCCACTTAAATTGGAAACTGGGTTAACTATGGTATATACTACGTGCTATTTTACTTTTTTCTTTTTTTACTACATTTTAGTAAACACTACCTAAAGTAGCATGGTGATGTACGCCTGTGATCCCAGCATTGTAGGGGGCTGAGGCAGAAGGATCTCAAATTCGAACCCAGCCTGAGCAATTCGGCAAGATCCTGTCTAAAAATAAAAAACGGCTGGGAAGGTAGCACAGTGAGAAGGCCCTGGGTTCTATCCCCAGGACAGTGTGTGTGTCTGCGCACGCGTGTGCACACACAGGAACTCTAAGGTGGTGAAGGGATAGGATGACCTGGAGTTCTTCGAACCGAGCGGGGGAAAGCGGGCGACACGGCGCAGGTCCCTGCCCCAGAGCACTTGCTTCCCGATCCTCACTGCCTGGGCAAGGAAGCAGACCGGCTGGCTGCAGGTCCCCAGAGCCCTTTCTCCCCGGGACAGGAAGAGGCGCCAGCCGACCCCCAGCCCCGCGGGCCGAGGGGTCGCGCGCCCCCTACCGCACGCGGCGGGAATTGCAGCGGCGGCTCAGCCCACCGGGCCGCGAGTTTCACCGTCCTCACTGTCGTGGGAAAGCGACAGCTGTCCCTTCTCGCCGAGTACAACGCTGACACCCAGTGTCTAGGAGACCTGCACAGCTGCGCCCCAGTCCAAGCCCTCTGAAAAAGGTGCCTCGATAGCCCCAGGGTGCACACCCCAACTCTAATGTTGGCCAAGAGCTTCAGGCCCTGCAGCTGCTGGGGCCTCTGTGTAGAGGAAGGGGAAGGAGGGAGATCGAGGCACAGGGGACGGCGTCCCAGCACTGCCCCGCCTTGAAGTCCCTAGACTCACACTTGGGGGCCCCTTGTGGAGCCAGAGAGGCACAGGCCCTGGGTCTGGGTGTTGTGTAATCTTCTCGTATTTATTCATCCAACAGCTTCCTAGGGTTTTCTCCTGTGTCAACTCAGTGCTAGTTGTGGGGATGCAAATACAGAGGAGACTCCGCTCACCTGTCACCCCAGCACAGGGAGGCTGAGGCAGGAGGATAACCCAGAGTTCAAGGCCAGCCTGGACAACATAGCAAGACCTTGTCTCAACAAACATTCCATCCCCGGCACCAAACAAACAACAACAACAACAAAAAAAAACAAGAAGAAATAAAAAGAAAAAGAAGTCTTTGCAGCCTATGTTCCAGGTGTTGGAGCCCCAAGGCTCACCACAGCCAGTGCAGGGGGTCCCCTGGGCCCCCTGTCACACAGACAGCAGAAACCTAGCACGGGGGCCTCAGCACTGCCTCCACCCCAGAAGCTGCGTGCACCCCCCCCACCAAGGCATGGTGTGGGCACAGGGCTCTGGGGCCATCAGCATCCCTTGGCCAGACCCAGCCTGGCAAAGTGACCTGGTGGGGACCCCTGTGAGCCCTCTCCGGACAGCTGCCTGGAGACTCTGCTGCAGAGGACGCTGGGGGACCGAGCACCCCATTACCAACCCTGGCACCCCACTTCCGGGCTTCATGGGGGGGCAGCCTTTTTATCCTTGTTCTCCCAGACACGGTTTGATATCACACAGGGAAACAGTGCCCCCTTGTCACCGGGAGGACCAGGAGGAGGCCACAGCCAGATCGCTGTCCCCTTCTAGAACCAACCCCTCTCCTGCCCTGGCCCGAGTGAGGTCTTCCTCTCTCTGTCACTCCAGCGTCCTTCACCTCGCTTACTCTGAGCCATCTCAGTCCAGCAGCTTTATTTATTTCTTTGTATAAACTCAGGATTAAACCCAGGGCCTTCCGGCTGAGTACCAGGATCAAACTCTGGACCTTGTGCTTGCAAGGCAGGTGGTGGCACCACTGAGGTAAATCCCCCACCCTCCCCTTTTTATTTTTTGATACAAGCTCTCCCTAAATTGCTGAGGTTAGTCTTGGACTTGCAATCCTCCTGCCTCAGCCTTCCTGGTTGATGGGATCACAGGCTCCCGCCATTGTAGCTGGCTACAATTTGATCCTTACCGAGAGAATATCCCAGAGACAACTGCATCACTCACTCCATCACTCCTTCCTTCCTTTCTTTCTTTCTTTGGTCCCGGGGATTGAACTCAGATCCTTGTGCTTTTGAGGCAGGCGGCAGAACCACTGAGCTAAATCCCCGGCCCCATTTCTTTATTTTTGAGACAAGGTCTCGCTATGTAGTCCAGGCTGGCCTTGAACTTATGGCAATACTCCTGCCTCAGCCTCCCAAGTGCTGGGATCACAGGCGTGCACCACCACACCCAGCCTTCTTCCACCTATTTCTTCATTCACAAATATCTCCTGGCACTTGCTAAGTCTGGGCACACTTCTGGGGGGTGCAGCAGCGTTCAGGATAAAGTACTTCTTGCTGGGACAGCGAAAGCATCACCTCAATCAGGATAATGGGAGAGACCAGCACTAGGAATGACACAGACTGTCGCATAACAGTAAGCCATGCAAGGCCAATGGGATGACTCAAGTCTGTAATCCCAGCACTGAAGGGGCTGAGGCAGTAGGAACTCTGTGAGTCTGAGGCCAGCCTGGACTACATAGTGAGTTCAAGGTTAGCCTGAGGGACACACGGAGAGGCTCTGTCCCAAAACAAAACCAGAAAACCGTAAGTACGCCCCACAGGGACTAAAGGGTAAGGAGCTGGAGTGTGAGTGCTGAGCGGTGGTGGGAATTTCCCTCTTTGCTTTCCTCTCTCTGGCGAGCTGAGTGTCAGGGCCCGTGTGTCCCCTCCTCCAGCTTTTTCAGCCCTCTGGGCACCTCGGGGCTCGCAGGGCACTGTCCCAGGCTTCAAGGGTCTGCAGAGCCGGCCCCTGGTAACATTATGAGGCACCTGTGTCGCCGCCTTCGCGGGTGTTAACAATGCGTCCCCACTGGAGTTTATCTTTTATTCTGTTCATCTTGGACATTGGTACTGAATTCCCAGCTACTCCGTCCAGAAACACTTGTGGGACCTGCTGTGTGCCAGGCCCTGTCCTGGGGCAGAAACAGAGAAAGAAGGAAATTCTCTGCCCAAGGAGTCCTCGCTGGGCAAAGCGTGTGAGCCCCAGCGTCGCCCCGTTTCGTTTCCTCTTGTGTTTTGCGGCACTGAGGACTGAACCCAGGGTCTTCACACTGCGCCACACCCAAGGACCCCCCCTTTAGTTTTTATTTTCCTAAGCCACTAAATTGCTCAGGCTGGGCTTCAGCTAGCAGCCCTCTCGCCTCGGCCTCCGGAGCGCGGGGATGACAGGCGCGCGCTCCAGCCGCGCTCGGCTGGCTCTTTCCGTCCTTCCGTGCACGCGGCGCGAGCTCCGCTCTGCCGACTCACGTGTCTCCACTGGGCGGGAGCGTGGAGAGAAGCGTTCCCATTTCACAGATGCCGCAGCTGCGGGGTGCTACGGGGAAACACGAGCTGCTCCGCGGGCAGCAGAAGCCGGGAGGCCGCCCACCCAGGTGGGGCGGCGCCTCCGGCCCCCGCGGTGTCACTGCCGCCGCCCCCGCCCCAGGCCGCCGCCGCCCCCACCCCCGCCCCAGGCCGTCCCCGCAGCCGCGCCGGGTCCACGTGTGTGTGTCTGTGTGCCGAATGGGGCCGGGGGCGGGGCAGGGGCGGAGCCGCTCGACGTCACGGCCGCGCCACCCAATCAGCGGCGGGCTCACGGCGGCGGCGCTGGTATTGGGGCAGCGAGGGGGCAGTTCTCTATAACGCGGTCTCCGGAGCCAGCGGGGAAGAAAGGAGCCGAGCGGGCGGAAGGCGCCCTCCCTGCCGCCTGGGCCCCGCACCGGGTGCCGGGCCAGGTCCTTCCCGCCTCCCTCCATCTCCGGCCGCTTTGTTGGCCCCGCCCCGGGCCCTCCGGGCCGCTCGAGAGGGGGCGCTGGTCCGCGGCGCGCTGCGAAGGCGGCGGCAGGAAGCGCGCTGGCCGCGCGAGGACCGCGGGGACCCAGGAGTTCGGCCGCCGCCGGTGCCGCGTGACGAGGTCCAGGAGGGGACAGGGCCCGGGGCGCCAGCGAGCCAAGGCCTCCCCGTCGAGGGAGGCGATGTCCCCCTCGCCCGTGGGCTCAGCGCGCAGCCGGGGCACCGCGCCGCTGGGCCCCCGGCCTCGGCGCCGGGCGCCGCTATGGAGACTCTGTGCCCCGCCCCGCGCCTGGCGGTGCCGTCGTCCCCGCGGGGGTCGCCGTGCGCCCCCTCGCCCCAGAAGTCGCGCCGGGGGACCCAGGAGTTCTCGCCGCTGTGCCTGCGCGCGCTGGCCTTCTGCGCCCTCGCCAAGCCGCGGGCGCCCTCGCGGGGCCTGGGTCCCCGCGCCTCCCTGTCCCCTGGCGGCGGCGACCCGGACGGCCTGAAGCAGCCCGGGCAGCCCCACGCTCCGAGCCCCGCGGCCCGCGGGGATGCGGACGCCGCCCCGCTCCCTGGCCACGAGCGAGAGGAAGAGGGCGGAGGCACCCGCGCACCTCCGGGCCTCTGCCCGGAGACCCGGCCTCCCCAGGAGGCTCCGCCCGCGCCGGCCCTGGGCCTCGAGTCCCAGCCGCGGCCCGCCGCCAGCCCGCCGCCACCTGCGGGTCCCTCACCGTCGCCGCCGGAGCAGGACGGACGACCCCCGCCCGAGACACCCGCCGGGGAACCTTCGACGACTGCGCCCGGCGACCTCCGCCAGGAGCACTTCGATCGCCTGATCCGCCGCTCCAAACTCTGGTGCTACGCGAAAGGCTTCGCCTTGGACACGCCAAGCCTGCGCCGCGGCCCCGAGCGTCCGCCCGCGAAGGCCCCGGCCAAGGGCGCCACCAAGAAGCGCCGCCGGCCCGCGCCTGTCCCGCGCCCGCCGGTCCCGGCCCGCGCGCCGCCCCGCCGCCCGGTGCCTGCGCTCCCCGCCGCCGGCACCTTCAGCCTGCTCAGCTGCTTCCCCTGCACGCCTGCCCTGGTGGTGGGTGACGACGGGGACCTGCGGCCCGCTGCCTCGCTGCGCCTGCAAGGCGACGCCCGGCCCCCGCCCGCCCACCCCGTGTGGCAGTGGCAGGTAGGGGGCCCCGCGGTCCCCGAGCCCCCCGGTTGTAAGTTCTGGGCGGCCAACCTGGAAGAACTCTGAGCGCGGGACACACTGCTGCTGCGGAGGACAGATGGGGACGCCCGGCTCGAGGACACCCCGGCTTCTCACTTCTGCCTGTTCTTGACACTGTCTGGGCCGTGGGCATTGGGACTCCGGTGACTGATCTGCGAGCCGGAGGAGCCGAGGGCTGCAGTCGGGGGACAGCGGAGTGACCCGAGTTCCTGCTCTCCTCCCCCCACCCCGGCGCTCTGGGGGTAGCAAAGGAGGCCGCCGAAAACCCCAAAAGGAGCTGGAGAGACCTTGGTGATGGACAAACCGGTTGTTTCTACGTCCCGGGGCGAGCCTTGGGGGTGGGGGCCGCCGAGGGGGGAGTGTGATTGGCAGCTCCCTGGGGGGCCCCACCCCGCCCCCACCACCGAACCTTTAACCCCTGGCTGCCCGAAGGCCTTAGAACCAGCATCTCCGAGCCCTGCTGGGGGAAGGGCCAGATCACCCCCTCCTGGTTCCTTCTAGGGCCCCCCAAGTTCAGGTGACCCGATTGCTGAGACCTTCAGTCTCACCCACCACGAGCCTTTCCTTTTTGATCGGTTTTGGAGCCCTCCCCCCAGTTTTCCGTTTGCTTTCAGTTCTTTAGGTTTGATGGGTGGACGAGAAACTCCCACCTTCATCATCCTCTCCCTCCCCCAGGTCGCACCGCACTGAGGGGCAGGGCCTAGGGACCCATCACTTCCCCCCCCGCAGACTGCCTGGGCACAGGGACGGAGACTGTCCCAGGGAAAGTAGTAGAAGGTGGAAGAAATCAATAAAATCAGACCAAACGAGTCGCCCCTGACTAGTGGAGGGGATGTAGTAGAGGGCAGGCCTGAGTCCTTTGGACACCAGACTCGGTCCCCTTAAGGGTGGTGACAAACCAGCTGCTGCCTGCAGAAGGGTCAGTGAGAGGGTCGCCTAACTACCTGGCTGTCCTGGAGTTTGGGGTGGCTGTTGGGGTGTGGGTGCGGCCTGCCCCTCAGCCCCCTTCCTGAGAGCCCAGCGGTCGGGCTGTCAGGGCCTGATGGATCCTAGGCGGTGAGGGGATTAGGCTCAGGGTCAGAGGTCTTGGTTTCCAGGCCCGGAGAGCTGGGCCTGGGCCACGCCTGGCCAGGAGGGTCCCCTGAGTCCCCGTGGGGCGACCACTTTCTCTGCACCTGGGGGATCGGGTTGCCCACCGCGTGAGAGCCCCGTGACCCCCTGACCCGCACTGCACTAGGAACTGCACCCCTCTGGCCCTGAGATGGGGCGAGGGAGGGATTGTCCGTCCCCACGTTCGACCCTGGGGAAGGGCTTGTTTCCTTTTCTGTGAAAATGCTTTGTAAAAAGTTGTTATTGTTTGCATAGAGCAGATTCTTGAAAAACTGTTTTGCACCACAAAAGTTGTGCACAAAAGTTTGTTTTCCAAAAACTGTCTCCTCTCAGTGTTTCTTGCCCTGGGGAGGGTGGTGCAGGGCGGCATGGCTGGCTCTTAACATCTGGCCTTTCTGAACCCTGCTGACCTCCCCTCCCCTCCAGCTGTGCGCTGCAGGAGCAGGGGTGGGCCGGTCGCCCTTTCTCCTGGGCCTCAGGGTTCCCCGCTTATCTGTCCCCCGAGAGTGGAGACAGACAGGGCGAAGGTAGACATGGCGGTGCGGGGAGAAAATCGCTCCGAAGAAAGGGGTGATCCTCTGGTGAGGAATTGGGAAAGGTGGCCCCCTGTTTTTAAAAGCCTTGTTTCCAGTGGCGTCCTGGTTGGTGTGGCCTCCCTGTGGCCCTGGGTGAGGGAGGCTGAAGGGTACAGGGCTCCTCCGACTCGCCCTCCTTCAAGGGCTCCCCCAGCCAGGGAAAGGGTTGAGCAGACCTTTTGTCGAGACCCAGAGCAGCCCTCCTTGGGGACCGATGGGAGCTGAGTTCCAGTCCTAAGGCTGCCATGACCAGCGGGGTGGGGGTTGACACAAGGTCTGGCTGTGTAGCCCGGGGTGCTCTCGAACACGTGGCAATCCTCCTGCCTCAGCCTCCGGAGTGCTGGGATCACAGGTGTGCGTCACCACGCCCAGTACAAGACACAGTAAGGAAGTTTGCGGAGGGCTGGAGGTCAGAATGTGGACATCTTTGGGGAACGTTTTTTCTCTGCGTTGCTGGTGAGCCAGGCCTTGAGATCTGCCCTGAGCTGAACGCCCTGACGCAAATCTCAGTCCCAGAAGGAAGAAACGCCCGGGCCTTCTGGGTGGAGGCTGGGGTCAGCATGGCCAACGACTGGGCCTCAGGTCCTCAGGGAGCAGCGTGGGGGAGGGGACACCCCAGGCTCCAGGGCGTGGAGGAGTACGGTCTGTCGGTGTCCAGAGCCTGGCTCCCTCCCCGCCTCGCCTCCGAGCTGCTGGTGGGGACCCTTAGCAACCCCTCCCTGGGGGCCTAAGTCCCCTTCCTGCCGCCCCTCTCCTTCCCTCTGGGCTCCTCTGGGGCTTTGCTCTCCGCCCCTCCTCAGGGTCTCACACCGCCCAGAGTGACGTTGCGGCCTGGTCCATGCCCTTGTCCTCCAGGCAGCCTCAAGGCCCCGAGTCCTCTGCCTCCTGCCCCAGAAGCTGCTTTTGCTGGGGCCACCACGACAGCCCCCCCACCCCATGGTCCTCCCCTGCCCAGGCTTCTCCAGGGCTGTGACACCACTGAATGCTCACCGGGCTCCCTGGTTCTCTGTTGCCAAAGGTCCCTGCTCTGTCTCCTTCAGTCCTCAGGAGGCTTTAAAACGAGGGAGGGAAGCTGGGCGTGGAGGCGCACACCTGCCATCCCAGCACTGGAGGCTGAGGCAGAGCTATTTCTGAGAGTTCTAGGCCAGTCTGGGCTACCTAAAAAGACCCTGTCTCAATCAAATGGGGGAGGCCGTGTGGAGCGGTCCAGGTGGCACCTGCCTGTGTCCCTCTGTCTTCAGCTTGCTCCTCCTTTCTCCAGCTCCTCTCCCGAGCGCTTCCTCCCATGACTCACACCCCCCGTTGCAGACCAAGCTCCTGTCCCTGACCTGCCACACCCATCCCCTTGGTCATGCCCCTCTTCTGGCCACAGCCCTACCCTCTTCCGTCACCTTCCTGAGACTCAGGACCCCAGATTCTCAGCGGGTCCCTGACTTCAGCAACAGCCACCCATCCCAAGCCTCCTCCGCTGCTGTCCCCTCAGCGTCCAGGCTGACACTGCTGTCCTCAGCCCAGCAGGGCCAGACCATCTGCCTGTTTCAGGGTTATCGGCTCTGTGTGGTTCCCTGATCAGGTTACTGCCTTACACAGTGGACACAGGATCCCCCACTTTATCAGGTGCAGCTCCTTGGTCTGACTTTGGAGCCCTTCATGCTTTGGCCTTAACCCTCCAGTCCAGCCTCGCCCCCTTCGCTTGTCTGCTTGTCTTTGTGTGCAGTGTGGACCACGGTACAGCACGGTGCTCCCCGCCACCTCCGTGCTCCCAGGCCCATTTGAAACGCCCCCCTCCCTTGGAGAGTCCTTTGACTCCCCAGGTAGATGTGGCCCAGGCCACCTCTAGCAAGGGGTCATGGGGTGAATAATAGGGACCTGGGGGCTCCTAGGGCAACCTTCTCACCTGCGCTTTCCCCTCCCAGCACTAACACAGCTTCAGGATCCCTGCGGCAGCTGTGAAAATGTCCCGAGAAGCCACTGTCCAGGGTGCCTGTCCCCCTGCACTTCCTTTAATCAACTCATGTTCCTGCTTTCCTTAATTAGCTTCAGAGAAAAAGCTAAGGCAGTGGCCCAAGGTTATACTTATTTGTGGGTTTTTCCCTTGTTTCCTTCTATGGTTATCTTGTATCTCTTGCTTTTGCTTTGCTAGACCCTGGCTACTTTTATTGATTGATTGATAGATTGATTGATTTTTTGAGACAGGGTTTCACTATGTAGCCCAGGCTGGCCTCAAACTTGCACAGATCCTCTTGCCTCAGCCTCCCAAGTGCTGGGATTACAGGTGTTTGCCACCATGCCTGGCTCAAAATGAAACATTAAAAGGGGTGAGGAGGGGCCAGAGATTTAGCTCAGTGGTTCTGCTGCCTGCCTCACAAGCACAAGGACCTGAGTTCGATCCCTGGTACCAAAAAAATAAGGGATGAGGAGCCAAGTGTGGTGGTGCACACCTGTTATCCCAGCACTCGCAAGGCTGAGGCAGAAGGATCGAAAGTTCCAGGTCAGGGTTACATAGTGAGTTCAAGGCCAGATAGAATTACATAGACAGAACTTGTCTCAAAAAAAAAAACTAAAAAGAACTGGGGATGTGGCTCACTGGTAGAGCGCTTGCCTAGCGTACCTGTGGCCTCCGGTTTGGTCCCCAGCATGCAGCAGGTATTTATTTAAAGCACGGCCCAGCAGGGCTCTCGGCCAGACTGCAGTTTCATATTCAGCCACTAGATGCCGCTGTCTGCCAGCAACAGAAGGAGGCTCGCTGGCGGGAAGAGAGCGGGTGGTGAAAGGATTAATTCTCCCTAGCCACCCAGTGCCTTCCAGGGTTGGGCCCTGTGCCAGGCATTAAGGGACGGTGACGACGTGGTCCCTGAACACGGGGACTTACGGCAAGTGTCACTATTTTGCTTTCATACCGGAGAGAGGCATTATCTGTGTGGCAGACGAGGACATGGGGATCAGAGAGGCTTACGAATTTGCCTGCGGTTGCACAGCATGGGCCGGAGCAGAGTTGAGCTCTGGTCCATCTGAATAGAGAACCTTTTCGTGGCATTTGCTAGGAGCCAGGCGTTATTCTGAGAGCATCATGGTTAGTGAGTGCATCCTTTATTTCTCAGAGCAAGGTGAGGGGGTAGGTACTGTTGCTATCCCATTCCCAGATGATTTATTCTTTGAGACAGGGCCTCACAAAGCTGCCCATGCTGAGCTTGAACTTGTGATCCTCCTGCCTCAACCTCCCGAGCAGTCGGGCTCACAGGCCTGTGCCAGTGCTCGGGTTAGGTTTGTGCTCTTAATGACCATAGGCTGCCACAGTTCACCAGGCAGATGTGTTCTGGTTCGAGCCGGAAGTCCCCCCACCTCCCCCAAGCCCTGCGATGCTTGCATGGGGTCAGGGATCATGGAGATAGGAGTTGGAACAGTGAGCAAAGCAGGTCCCCCGGGGTTGGCAGAGGGGGACAGCTGGTAAGGGTGCTTCCTGAGCGTGATAGGGAGAAGCTGAGCTCCAGGGCTGCTTGGAAGGATGTTGGGAGCACAGACCTTAGAAGCCGGCTCAGGTGGTGGCATCCTAGCTACTCAGAAGGCTGAGGCAGGAGGATCGTGAGTTCACAGCTCGCCTGGGCAACTTAGTAAGAGCCTGACTGAAAATCAAGTAAAAGGGTTGCGGGTGGAGCTCAGTGGTACCATGCTTGTCTGGCATGTGTGAGGCCTGGGGTTCGATCCCCAGTACTGCAAAAGTCAGTCCCCGAGAGAGATGCCAGGGTGGTTGACCCTAGTGTGGAGGACAGAGAGCCTGGGCAAGGGCTTTGCAGGCCAAAGGAAGGATTCGGGCTTGTTCTGAGAGCCTGGGAGATTGCCTGGGTGGCCAGGTGTAGTGGTGCATGCCTATAATCACAGCACTTGGGAGGCTGAGGCAGGAGGATCGCTGTGAATTTGAGGCCAGTTTGGGCTCCATAGTGAGTTTAAGCCCAGCTTGGACTACATAGCAAGACTCTATGTAAATAAAACAAAACAAAATTTTATTTATTTTCTGGTACTGGGGATTGAACTCAGGACCTTGTGCTTTTGAGGTAGGTGTGGTGCCACTGAGGTAAATCCCTGGCCTTTTTTTTTTTTTTTGGTACCAGGGATTGAACTCGGGTCCTTGCGCTTGCAAGGCAGGCGGCAGAACCACTGAGCTAAATCCCCAGCCCTGTTTCTGCTTTTTGTTTTTTTGAGACAGAGTCTCGATATGTAGCCCAGGCTGCACTGGAATGCTAGCCAGTCCTCCTGCCTCAGCCTCCTGAGTGCTGGGATCACAGCCCCAGCCAGATTTGCACTTGAAGGGGATCCTGGTGGCATTTGTGTGACTTCTGTGAGACTAAAGCAGATGTGAGGAGAGAGACTGGAGGCCACCATCATGGTCCAGGACAGCAGAAGTGGTGGCCCAGGCCAGGAGCTGGGCCAGCACGGAGGGGAGAGAATGTGGCTCTGCAAGGTGAGATTGGAATGAGCATGTGACAAGCGCCAGCCTCGGGCTCTGCAGAGACTCCTGGGCCACAGTGGAGGGGACAGGAAATCAGGCACACCTGGGCTTCCATGGGGCCGCGCAGAGTCAGAAGCGGCTGGGCCACAGGAAGATGGCAAGTGACTCCTGCCCTACGGGGTCTGCGCTTGTAGACAGGTGAGGGCTGGAGCTACCCTGGAGGGCAAGGACAGCCATGAGGGCTGTTAGGACCAAGGACACAGCAGAG